CCTTTCTTTTGTTATTCTCCATTGCGCACCTAATATAAGATTAAAAATATATGGGAACCTGTACACTGTCATTCATAAGCTTTATATCATAAATGTTAAAGTATCTACTCTAAGTAAATACTCCACCTAAATTTACCCTTCATACCTATAACAAATAAATACATCGTAACTTAATGTTAAATTTAGCTATTGTATCTTTACATATAAAACCCAGCCAAGAAATTACAGCGATGAATAAAATGCGCATGATTGAGTAATCATGCGCGTGCATAAACTCATCTCTGCGCAGAGCTTAATCACCAAACGAAAGACTTCTCGCACCACTTATCGCCATGGGGTTTAATTACCAAATAAGAGGTTCTTGTATTGCTATTGCAAAATCCAGAAAAACGATAATAGCTGAATTTAAGATAATTAAGATAAATTCTGAAATTAATAATCAGTAACGTCGGCTTTGCATTAATAATGATCTACGGTAATATATGAACAAATAATGAAATCACATTTCATGTTACACATCCATGTGATCATGTCGGTAAAAGGATTTTGCGAAAGTCACGTGGGGTGGACATCGATAAAGTTGGAAAAACCCCCAATTTCATGTTACACATTCATGTGATCGTACTGGTAAAATGACAACGATTTTATGGTTTGTATCAACCGGTATCAGGCAACAGCATGTTTAAAAGAGAAGCAAAGTTCATAGAATTGCTAGCAAGAGATCATGATGGGAACGTTGGGATAACACCATCATCGTCACTAAAGGTGACAAAATCGAAAATGGTCTCCGAGAAGCAGCTAAAGAAATTGCAAAAAACACCACTTGAAAAAAGAAAAGTGCAATCAATTACCAACTAATAAAGATGGTTTTCTCATAAAAACTAATGATTTTGTTATTCAATTATTTGAAAGGCTGCCGCCTAAAAGTGTTTATGTTGATCATAATTTTACAAGTGATCAATTGAACCAATATAATATTTTTAAAGAATCTGAACCTGACGAATTCTTACAAAGTATAACACATTAATTAAAGAGCACCAAACACATCTGATAAAGATCAATTTCAGAAAAGTTAAGTATTTGAAATGCCCTGAAAAAACCGATCCAAGACTAGCAATTCCAGAGTGTCATTTAGAATCAGAGTCGTTTCATTCAGAGACAATTAATATTTATCTATATAAAACAATATGCGCACACCCGAACATTCTCGATGAATATCATCTGGGTTATTTAAAAACTTATTATCCTGGTTCACAAAAGTTTATGCACCCTAGCATACCCGTTGATAGTCAAATCAACTTAAATCCTGGTCAATGTCTTATTCGTGCTGTTACATTTGGAGTTATTAACCCTATGATTCCTGGATACTGGAAGTGCTGCAGAAAACAATTGAATTCATCTGGATGTAAGAAAGTTTATTCTTATTGTAAGAGTAATAATGACGGTTGTCGCAATAAGTATGAATGTTGTGTAGAGGTCTTGACAGTATAGATTTAAAAGACAGTACTGTTGCTGCAATGGATCTTGCACAAGTGAAGGATGTCAATACATATATGACATGTGCAAGCATAAAGCTGGCGAACAGCCTTGTAGTGCAGTTTGCAAAGACGGTTGTAAAAAAAGATGCAGAAATTGCAAAAGATCCCAGATCGAGAAAGGATGTATTTTTCGTAAGTGTAGAGTTTTCAATATTGCAATTTTTTTTTTGATGATAATGTTCTGGCTCATTTCACGTTTTCGATCAATTCCGGATTGACCTAAGATCATTCTTGAATTTTCACCGTTTCTGAAATGAACTAGATCAATCTTTGACGAAATTTTAAGGATCAGTGCGTGACCAATCATTGGTGTGACAAATAAACACTAACTAATTTAGTTATATAATTAGTGATTATTTGTCACAGATGATTAATCACACCCCGAAATTTAATAAAAATTTAGAACTCAGAATTATTAAAATTTCATTATACTATATTACAAATGTATTACGTATGTTAAATTAATTAATGCAAAAAAAGAATAAAATAAATAAAGTCATCGAATCAAAATTTTAAATACAACTTTCTTATTTTTTCTTAAAAATGGAATGATACAACTTTCTGGCATATGAAACCTTTGATCGAATATTAGAAACTTTTATTCGTCAAAGGAAAAACAATCGCTGTTTAATGGATCAGAATAAATATAATCAACGTTTAACTGTACTTAAAAATCACAACAATTAATACAACCCAAATTTAAATGGGTGGTGCTCACCGACAATCACTTCACCGACATCATAGTTCGCCGACAATTAATTCACCAATAAGTTTATTTCACCGACAATTAATTCACTAACAGCTCATTTCACAGACAAAGTAATTCTGGTCATTGTCATTAAGGTCAGCTAGAATTAGAGTTAAGGTTAGTGTAATTTATAAAAAAAACTTGTCAGTGAAATGAACTTGTTGGTGAATTAGTTGTCAGTAAAATGAACTTGTTGGTGAATTAATTGTAAGATGTCGGTGAAGTTTTTGTCAGTGAAATGATACATATTCAATTTAAATATTGGGTAACTAATAATTTTAAAATTTTTTATGTTGGTACAACTTAAGAACTTCATACTATTAAACCAATTGAAAATAACCTGGAGACGCAAGTTTGTCCTATTGAAAACTTTTTTGAAATAATCTGTGCCATGCATAGGGTTGCTGGTGCAGTTATAATCTAATGGCATGCCACTGGTGCACCACTAAAACTTTTTGGTGCATGGCATGCCATTAGGTGCACCATTATATTATATTATCTACTTTTAACTAATCCATATTTGTATTTAATTAGCAGAAATATTTTTAATTAATCAATTAAGCTTGTCATTAAGATAAATAAAGTATATAGTT